TCAACACGCTCGTTGAGTAGAGATAACGTTCACCTGTGTAAGATCTGTGCGAATCAGCCAATTTTAAAATATTTATCCCATAGAGCTAACTGATTCATAATGAACCGGTTTCACACTCGGTATCATTTGTCAGCCTCGTGCGAAGCTCTGTCGACGTCACGACATTTAAATCGGTTGCTGTTTGTTATCAGTTATTTGGCTGCTCGCAGCTGGAGTTGATTCCCAGGTGCCTCCGGGTCGAAGTCTTTGGATTGTACTTTTTCCTGGTGATAAAGTCTTTGCTTTAACTAATCACCACTTATTAGTCCAACGACTAAATATTGAATCCTTGGGCTTTTCAGGAATCGGTGCGCCTGCTCGCCGGCATTGCGGACACGAGCAAAGATGGCCTCATATCGTTCCCGGAATTTCAGGCATTCGAGGGCTTGCTCTGCGCCCCCGATGCACTCTACAGAACTGCCTTTCAGCTGTTTGATCGCCAAGGCAATGGCACTGTTTCATACGGTAATTATAACGTATTTGTTTATTGATTTAGATCTATTGGCTTATGCTGCTCTTATTTGTTTATTTACTTATTCATCCAGCTGATTTCGCTGATGTCGTACAAAAAACCGAACTGCACTCAAAGATACCTTTTAGCTTAGATGGCACATTTATCAAACGCTACTTTGGTGATGTACGTGAACGGAAACATGTTTATTTTTAAAGCACACACTTAAACGATTTCCCATACACCCCTATAAATATATGTATATAAATATGTATATATATATATGTAGAAGAAGCAGCGTCTTATCAACTATGCTGAATTTACGCAACTGCTGCACGACTTTCACGAGGAGCACGCAATGGAGGCATTCCGCAGCAAAGATCCAGCTGGCACTGGATTCATATCCCCCCTAGACTTTCAGGACATAATTGTTAAGGTCAAGCGGCATTTACTCACGCCCGATGTCAAGGATAACTTGCTGGCGGTATGTCTATATAAATCTTGAACGCATCTATGTCAAGGCATATTTATAGTCAAACCATCCCATAGGTCACCGAGGGTCACAGAGTTAGCTTTCCGTATTTCATGGCATTTACATCGCTGCTCAACAACATGGAGCTGATCAAGCAGATTTACCTACATGCCACCAAGGGCAGTCGCACCGAGATGGTCACCAAGGATGAGCTGCTCTATGCGGCGCAAACCATGAGCCAGATTACCCCGCTGGAAATTGATATATTGTTTCAGATAACGGGCGCTGTTAATCAGCCGGGGTAAGCCATCTAGGTCACTAATGTTTCCACCACCTCCTCCAAAATGAATAATGACAACAACAACAACAAAAACCATTTCATTTGTAGGCAATTCATTTGGTCAGTAACGTTCGAAATTCAAAATAAATAATCAAGTCCCTCCCYTGTGTTTGTCTCTCCTGYTGCAATAACCGTTGACATTTTGTATCTTTTCTCTCTCTCTCTCTCTCTTTCTCCCCTCTTGCTCTCTCTTTTTCGAACTCATACAATTTTGTTCACATTAATGTATTTCTCACAATATTAGAAGATGGTGGAAACGCAAAAAGATTTCTCCAAGTAGGCAAGTGTTGTTGTTCTTAAAGAGAACATCAGAAAAATGTTAATAAGACATGGAATTTTCCTCCCTCGTAAAAATTTATAAACAAAAAAAGATACGAAAATCAAAAGTCCCTCTGGCCATGCATCTCCCCTTCGGTGTAAATTCGTTTTAGTTCATTATGTGTGGGTATCCTTGCATCCGGATCCTTTGACTAACCACTTGCTCAAATCGTTTGTTCCCACAGCCGCATCGACTACAGCGACCTGAGCAACATCGGGCCCGAGCACTATACGAAGCATATTACTCACCGTCTGGCCGAGATTAAGGCCGTCGACAGTCCCAGTGATCGATCGGCATTGATTCAAGTGCTGGAGGCCACCTATCGCTTCACTCTGGCCTCCTTTGCAGGCGGTAAGCCAATGAAGACCTTTTGGGGCCTAGCAAGTCTTTAATCTATGCACTGCCTTCCCTAGCTACTGGCGCCACGGTGGTCTACCCCATTGATCTTGTGAAGACGCGCATGCAGAACCAGCGCACGGGGTCAATGATCGGCGAGGTCGCCTATAGAAACTCATGGGATTGTTTCAAGAAGGTACGCGAAATATACATATATGAAATAGTATTGTTTAGCTATAATCAGTGCTTATTGTCCAACAGGTCATCCGTCACGAGGGCATCCTCGGCCTCTATCGCGGTCTGCTGCCCCAGCTGATGGGCGTCGCTCCGGAAAAGGCCATCAAGCTGACTGTCAATGATTTCGTGCGCGACAATCTGTCGGACAAGCGCGGCAATATTCCCGTCTGGGGCGAGGTTGTGGCCGGCGCCTGTGGTGGTGCCGCCCAGGTCATCTTCACAAATCCGCTGGAGATAGTCAAAATCCGACTGCAGGTGGCCGGCGAGATTGCTGGCGGCTCCAAGATAAGTGCGCTGTCCGTGGTTCGCGAACTGGGCTTCCTTGGCCTCTACAAAGGGGCCAGAGCGTGCCTGTTACGTGATGTGAACTTCTCGGCCATCTATTTCCCAACCTATGCACACGTCAAGGCCGCTCTGGCCGACAAGGATGGCTACAACAATCCCGTATCGCTGCTGGCCGCTGGCGCCATTGCGGGTGTGCCCGCTGCTTCGCTGGTGACGCCCGCGGATGTGATCAAGACGCGACTGCAGGTGGCCGCCCGCACGGGCCAGACGACGTACACGGGCGTTTGGGATGCCACCAAAAAGATTATGGCCGAAGAGGGACCAAGAGCATTCTGGAAGGGCACAGCCGGTAAGTAGACACGGAGTATGAATCTAAACCATTCTCTAATTACTCTCTCTGTTGGCTGATTAGCTCGTGTCTTCCGCTCCTCACCCCAATTTGGCGTCACCTTGGTCACTTACGAGCTGCTGCAGCGCCTGTTCTACGTGGACTTTGGCGGCAATCAGCCGAAGGGCTCGCAGGGCAAACAACCAGGTCTGCCCCTGGACGCCACGATGGGCGCGGAGCAGCCCAAGCCCGATCACATTGGTGGCTACCATGCGGCTGTGCCGCTCCTGACAGGCATTGAGTCCAAGTTTGGCCTGTATCTGCCGCGATTCGGACGTGGCGCTGCTGCCGCTGCCCCGGCTGGAACGGCGACGGGCTCATGATTATATTGGCGGCATCGCCTGCCATGCGCCAGTTAGGTCTAAAGTTGTACAGTTGTAGCCATATATGTATGTACATACATATAATATATATATATAGGCGGAAGGTTGAAGGCGACTCTGGATCAAATGTCTATATTTTGCTAAGACGCGTTTACACACACATCCACAATCAGTCGAGGACAACATATATAGGATACAGCTCAATGTCTATTCCAGAGGAAACTTTTCGTACCATCAACATGTTGTACCAAACGTAACAAAACTTTTGAAACATGTATAAATCATACGGAATAGAAAACTTTTACATATATATATATAAATTTATATAGATATGCAAGTATATGATAATATAYAGCTAACATCTATGGCACACAATTGAAGGCAACTGTTTTACCTACACATCAAGCGAGCATACACACATACATATATAGAAGAAGAAAGTGTAACTTTATCTAGATGCATAGTCTAAACTCTAAATCTAAATCTAAATCTAAACAAAGGAAAAGAAAACAAATCACTGAACGTCTCTTATTGCACTCAAACATTTAAGCGTAAAACCTTTAAATTTAGTACGAATTTGTTCAACTGTTATAAAGTAAAATGCAATGAATTACCTCTTAGCTAATAAATGTCAAATGAAAATAAACATAAATAAATGTACAAATATTGAAAAACAAACAAGAAAAATGAAATAAATAATTCACATTTAAATATATGTAAATAATAAGCATATAAAGTTTATAGACGAAGTCCAGACTAGTCCAGAATGGGATTTATTGGATGTTGAAAATATTTTAATATCCGGAATGCATTGAAAAATGACAACATACAGAAGAAGGCATGCCAGAAAGAGAGAGAATGAAAGGCGTATCAGAACCCAAAGAATAATAATTAAAATTGAAAATATAACACCTAATTTCGTATTTTCTATGTATTCAACCTCAACCAAGTCTTTTGATTGTAAGAGTATAAAAGAGAACACTCACTGTTTACTAGGTATCCCTTGTCTACTAGGGATCAGTCTTAGTATTATATTTTATTTATTCATTATATTTTATTATATTTTTGATTACTCAACCTCTACCCCCTCAAGTCTAAGACAAAATATTTTTCTATTATTCCTATTGTAGCTCGAAATAATTAATACAAACATAGATGCACTCTAAAAGTCGTACAGGTATTAAATAATCTCATTCTGACTAAGTCCGTTGCCCTAGTCTAAAGTAGTGCAACTAACTAGAAAGTGTGCAACTGAATATAGTTCGAGCTGCTGTCACAACTTTTCCCAGTTTATCGAATTGGAAAGTACGACGCCCTCGGCGCTGCAGATGGAGATGGAGCTCACTGAAACGCTTTAGCCATGGCTAACTGCATCAGTTAACAGTCAAGTGGCACATGCGATTAGAATACGGTGGCATTTGACAAATGCGTTGACAAGGCAATTTGCTGCCCAGCAGGGGGAGTGGGTTTCAGGTCGCTCAATCGACAACAAATTCAATTTCGAATTCAACAGTTTTATATGGCCATGTGGTTTACTGGATCTGGGCACCCGCCCACTCGACTCGACTGGCAGCCGCTGACCATGACCGTCAGCATTGACCACGATCTCCCATCTCCGTTAGCAATTTTATTCTGCACGCAGTGCGTAGTGCAGCCTTTTGGCCGTCTAATCACGGGTTGCAGCAGCAAAATGCGTTTCCATTGAGTGGCCCCAGCTCTTGGTCATATATAAAAAGCTGCATTCGATTGCTCAAGCCACCGCAGTTTCAATCCGAGTCTTGATGCGAACTTTTGGTTAGCTGCACACAGAATGCAAGGGAAATTCACGAAAAGTGTCTGCCTGTTGGCCGTGTGTTTGTTGCTGCTGCAGCTGGTGGCAGGCCAGGAAGAGGCAACAGTGAAGCCAACGCAGGCCACGGATACACGCGTCTCTTGGATTGCCCAATTGCAGCAGCTGCGTCAACAGATGCGCACCTGCTTCCGTTCGGGCTCCGCCTCCGGCACCGGCTCCGGCTCCGGCTCGAGTTTGTGGTCTTGTTTTCGTGCGCGCAGTCTGAAAATATTCGAGGACATCATGGCAGCAGATGTGATTCCGCTCTACGAGGGCGTCCGGCTAATTGCCGCACCAAATGCCACAAGTGGTCAAGCGCGACCAGCGGCCGATGAGCCCAAGGACCTGAAGCACTTGACCTGGTTTGATCAACTCGCTGTTAGCCTGGCCAAGGGCCTGACCACACACACGCTGCAGATCAATCTGGCCAAGCTCACGGAGCGTTATCTGAGCAACGGTGGGTAGCTGACCAGAGCCTAATTACTCAAATATTCAGCTGAATCCTGAATCCACAGATGGGCCGGAGCGCAAGGCGGATACCGTGGGCAGCGCACGGCTGCGTCGGCATCGCTTCAACATGATCATCACCATGATGTTTGGCGTCACGGCTCTAGGGGCTGTGCTGGTGCCAATGGGCTTCCAATTGCTTGCCATTGTCAGTGGCAAGGCGTTGCTACTGGCCAAAATGGCATTGCTGCTGGCCTCCATCAATGGCCTGAAGCGGGTGAGCTCTGCCCCAATAAACTTTCTATTTGTGTTATGCGAGCATTTTCTTGGACAGGTCGCCAATACTGGACTCCACTATGGCTTGTACCATGTGCCCGGCGAGCATCTGGGCGGCTACTACGATCGCGGCGACTTGAGCCATCCGCGGAACGTGCCCATACCCGTGGGGATGGCGCCTTCACTTGAGTTTGGCTTGAAGTAAGTGCGGGGAGAAAGCAGAGAAGAGAGAGTTGGAGTAAGAAAGTGGCAGAATTTTCCAGTCAATAAATGTAGTTTATAGACAGTTAAAAAAAAGACAGTTTTCTTTTCAAGCAAAGTTCGTTTGAGAGCTTTTCAGCTTTGCAACCTTTTGTAGAAAGTTGGCAGCTCTGGTGGAAAGCTTGAACAAAGCTTTTGGCGTGTTGAGTTTCCCATGTTGCGCGAAACTTTTCAAAAGAAACACACACGCACCCATTGAGCACTGCCTCGGAGAAGAATAAAAATATTTATGCCAAAATAAGTTGCAGCAAATAGTTCGTAAGCAAATAGAAAATATTTGCATATGGGCGAAGTTTTTCTTTCGCATTTAATTCAAAAGTTGTGCACTTAAAGCAGACTTCAAATTCACGAGCGGGCGATGACGCTGCCGACGCAGTGGGACTGAGGCGGTGTGGGCGGTGTGGGTGGACGTGTGGTGGCAACACGAGGGCTATAAAAGGAAATGCGCCGCTGATAAGGACCAACATTCTGTCGTCGGTTGCGGCAGCTTTGACATCTCGTGTCGCCAGCCAACGGAAGTCGTGCATTGCAATATCCTGAACAGTTTTTATCCTTTGTATCCCTGCGAGGTGTTCTGTCGTGTAACGGTTTCTGTGCCATTCAAAACGCTTTCACTTTTAATCTCGATCCAAGTGCGAACTACGTGACTCCGCCCCGTCGTCAATTTCCTTCGCTCTAATAAACTTATTGGTGGCGTGTGACCACTCGCTGCAAATCCACTTAATCAGCTTAGCTCGCTCCTCGCTCCTCGCTCCAGCTCCTGGCTCCATCCAGGACGCACTGCTCTCTTTTTTGGCCGTCGGTTGATTGAAAGCCTGGTCTAGGCAGCGCCGTAGCGGCAATTGACAATTTCACGGTCCGATTTAGTGCAGCGGCAGACGCAAACTCCGACGGAATGAAGCTCGTGGTCTACTGCTATTTATCCATGATTGTGCTGGGCGTCCAGGTAAGTGCTGAATGGAGCTAGCCTCGAGGCTCTGTGTAATTAGATTTCGATCAACAAGTTGCTTGGCCCAAAATTCAACTCGTGTCTTGTCAATCATTTGAATTAATTTCCCTCTGTCAGCGACTTACGGCCGAGAGATTGATGGCTCCAAGCCAATTCGAGTTTTATGAGCAAAGTTTCAGAAACCTTTCGACTTTTGTTCAGCTTTCTCTGCTGCTCATGTGCTGCGGCAGATTGCTTTCATTAGGCTCAAATTATGTGAATAAGTTTTGGGCGTGCGTCAGATTAAAGGGCTCGTACTCAAATATCATTTGCTGCGAAATCAATTTCATGTTTTATTGCACGCGTTGTCATTTTTATTAGATTTTTTATTCTATTCTCAAGCGACAGCTGTAATTTGTTCAAAAAAAGTTTGCTTGGCCTATAAAGAGAGTCTCTAGTTAGTATAATTTATATAATTTCATAAGAAAATTTTTTGGGCTGGCTAATCATTTAATTTTTGTGATTTAATTCAGAGCTCATTTGAATACGTTTTTATGTTGGAAGATGTCTTTTATAATATATTTGTTTGCTTATATTTATTTTATCTGATATTTTGATTTGAAGATATTCCCAGTCAGCCAAAAATATATATTTTGTTTTCTAGCAAACTGAAAAATTATACAGATATTGATTTCCACTGGCTTAAATTGAACTACAATAGATTCTTTCAAAATAAACATTAAATAAAATATAAATAAGAAACAAATTTAAT